TTCATTTAAGCTTCTGGTTCTCTCTTTTGATTTTATATTGTCGATGCCGGATTGATTTTTTCTTCAGGAGATCCGTGGTGGCCCAATTCCAATGTGGGTCAGAAGTTTTCAGACTTTCTCCTTAGGTCTGGAATCTTCTAAGAATGATTTTGGCCTCAGGAACTTGGGTGTTGGACTGACCTGAGATCCTGGCCATGGCCGTGCCAGGCAGGGATGCAAAGGCAGATGGGGTGGGAAGAAGCCCCAAGATTTCCCAGGGAGTGGATTGAGTAGCTGGGTTGTACTGGATGCAAAGGGTCAGAGAGAGGAAAGGTAAACCTCCGAGTCCCAGAAAGAGGCTGTCAGCCCCAGAAAGAGGCTAGCGGGTGTTGCAGGATCAGGGAAGTAAAGGGAGGTGAGGGCGGTGCCAGGTCCAGAAGCAGTGCTCCTAGGGCCCAGGGAAGGCACTAAGTTGTTCTGGGTGAAAGCGATCAGGAAGCAGTATTGGTTCCCCAGGTGTCTGGGGACCCAAGACTAGGAATGGCGCAGGGCCCAAACTAGTAGAGAGCAGTGGGGGAGACGGAAGGGTGAATGTGGCTGGGGGAGTCAAAGTGCTGAGGGCTGTGCTATAGACTTACCCCAAGAGGCCTGAGGATAGGAGTGCAGGCTATTAGAGTTAGCCGGTGGTGCAGGTCCCGGGAAGCAGAGAGAGGTGAGGGCGGGGCAAGGTCCAGAAGCGGTGCTTCTGGGGCCCAAGAAAGGCACTAAGTTGTTCTGGGTGAAAAGAATCAGGAAGCAGTATTGGTTCCCCAGGTGTCTGGGGACCCAAATGTAGGAATTGCGCAGGGCCCAATCTAGGAGTAGGGAACATCGGGGGAGATGGAAGGGTGGATGAGGCTGGGGGAGTCAAGGCACAGAGGGCTCTGCGATAGACTTACCCAAGAGAGGCCTGAGGGTAGGAGAGATGGCTAGGAGAGCGTATTTTGTTTCTTAATCCATTTAATTAGCCCGTGACTTTTGACTGGGGAGTTCCGCCCATTGATATTTAAGGTTATTATTGAAAGATGTGTATTATGGCGCAGGGCCCAAACTAGGAGTAGAGAACAGCTGTGGAGATGGAAGGGTGAATGTGGCTTGGGGAGTCAAAGCACAGAGGGCTGCGCTATAGACTTACCCCAAGAGGTCTGAGGATGGGAGTGCAGTGTTTTGCATATTTTTAAGAGAATTTTTTCTATACTGGGAATTGAACCCAGGGTCTTGTCCTTATGATGTGAGCACACTACCACTAAGCTACATCCTCAGGCCTGTACATTATTTTTAATCTTGATATTTTAATAAATTAGATAAAAGCTCTAATAAGTTTTAATGCAACATTTAGGGTTTTTTATGTATAGAAGCAAATGATCCCAAACAGGCATAGTTTTAATTTCATCCTTTCCAATGTGGATGCTGTTTGTTTTCTCTCTTGCGTAGTTGCTCTTGCTAAGATTCACAGTAATGTTTCAAGTAAGAGTGATCAAAATGTACATCTGTTTCTTGATCCTGATCTTAGAGAATGCATTTATTTTTTCCTCTCTTCAATATGATACTGACCATGGATCTTTCATATATAGCCATTATTGTTTTGGACTTTGTTCCTTCTCTGCCTAACTTGAGAGTTTTCATCATAAAGAGATGGTGAATCTTTTTGAATGATTATTTTGTATCTACAACAAAAGAGTCATGTAGTTTTTGTTTTACATTTTGTTGATATGTTACATCACATTCACTGACTGACCTAGGTTGAATTATTTTTGCATCCAAAGGATGAATCTTGCCTGTTTGTAGAATACAATCATTTAAATACATTGCGGAGTTGGATGATGATGATTGTTGTTGTTGTTGTTGTTGTTGTTGTGTGGGTGATTGAAAACCTAGAGCCCTGTGTACCTGCTGGCAGTGTCTTATCACTGAACTACATTCTTAGCCCTTTTTAAATTTTTAAAAAATTTAGAGACAGGGTCTTGCTAAGTTATGCAGGCAGCCCTTGACCTCACTCTTTAAGTAAGCTACCCAGCCTTATCTTGACCTCAGTCTATAAGTAGGTTAGCCATGAACTTTATCTTCCTTCTTCAGCCTCTTATATAGCTGGAATCACAGGCCTGTGCCACTAGGCTTGATTGGATAGTATTTTATTGAGAATTATTGACTATGTATTCATCAGAATATGGGTCTACAGATCTCTCTCTCTCCTTCTCTCCCTCCATCCCTCCCTTGACCCCACCTTCCTTCTTCTTTCTTACTTCCCTTCAACCTTCCTTCCTCTCTTCTGTTCCCCTTCGTTTCCTGCCTCCCTTACTGTTTCTATTGACAGGGTCTCCCTGTGTACTCCATACTAGCCCCAAATGTACCATTCTTTTGCCTCAGCCTCTTGAGTGGTATAATGGTTTTCTTTGTTGTTGTTGCTGTTGTTTTCATTTTTGAGGCAGGGTTACTAGTCTTTACTCTGTTCTTTCTTGTACTGCCTTTGAGTTTGGTTTATTGTTGTTTGCTTTTAATATATTTTTAAAAGAATCTCAGGTAGCCCAAACTTGCCTCAATGCAGCCACATTGTAGAAGATGATCTTGAATTTCTGATTCTCCTGCCCCCATTCCCCAAATATTGTGATTACACGTGTACACTACTATGTACGACTTTGTCCCTGCTTTTCTAACTCTTTGAGGTACATTGTTTGGTTGCTTATTTGAGATCATTCTGGTTTCTTGGTATATGTGATATTTGCTGTAAACTTTCTACTTACTACTTCTTTTGATGTTTGCAACAGACTTTTATATGTGTCATTTTCTTAATTTATAGAAATTGATTTCTCTTTTATTTTCCTCCATTTTCCATTGGGCAGTAAAGAGGTTATTCATTTGTACATATTGTTTACTTTGCATTCAACTCATTGCTTTTCATTTGTAGTTTTAATCCACTGTGTTCTGAGAAGATGCATGAGAGGGGTTCAGTGATTTAAAATTTATTAATACTTGATTTGTGGCCTAATGTATGATCTGTTTGAACATAAACCATGTGCTGGTAAGAAGAACGCTTATTCTGCTGATGTTAGATGACATGTTCCATAAATAACTGTTAGGTTATTTGCTCTAGTTTATGGTTCAACTCAAATATTTCTTTATGGATTTTCTGCCTTGATGAGCTGTCCATTGAAGGAAAGAATGTTGGATGTTCCCCAGTATTATTGTATCTCTCTCTTCAAATCTAATAATACTTGTCATTTACATTTGGGTACTTCCATGTTGGGTCCATATATGTTTATAATTTTGTATGTTCTTATTGAAATTATCCTTAATCAGTATATGACGTTCTTTGTCTCTTTTTGTAGTCTTAAAGTCTGTTTTATCTGGTAATTACTATAGTTATTCCTGTTTATTATTTTTCCTGTTCATGTGATGTATCTTTTCCTAACCCTTCAGGTTATGTTATATACGTCTTCACTTCTTTGTACTACCTGTGAGATAGGCATGCATATCTGGGTAGGCATGCAGAGGATTTTTCTTTCTGGGGTTTGTGTGATTTGTCCTTTGAAACAACTTGGCACTTTGGTTGCCGTCCCATGGTGTTAGGCTGAGACTTGGCTCATGGTTAATATACTAACAATGTTTGTTTAAACATACATCTTTCTTCTCGATTCCAGCACAAAATGATGACAACATCTCTCTCATAAAGAAAGATGAGAGTTTTCTTCAGAGAAGTTTTGGTAAGAGAAACCTTCATGGTGAAGATGAACTTCGATCTCCACAACTCCAGGAGAATGATGGAAACAAGGAGACAAAAGATGTCCATGAGGACTCTCAAGTAACAGAGTAAGCAAAATCATACTTGCATGTAGCAAGCATCCTTTGGAATTATGTAACTGTTTTACTCTGTGATTTTTTTCTTGTTTTGATAAAAAAATGAAGAGTAATAGAAATGCAATAATGGTAAGGCAGTCAGACTTAGAATTGTTTGTCGTTGGGCTGATTATAAGTGATTTGAGACTGTACTTTTTGAACTGATTTATGGCATTTCTATACATTTATGACTAGCTCCTTCTATCCATTTCCTCACAGCAGCTCTTCTACCTTCAAAGTAAAAAAATTTAAAGTACATACTGAATGCCAAAATACAATTCCTCCACTGGAAGAAGTGGAAAGGAACACACAGGATGCCTTTCAGAGCTGGTACAAGATCACAGTGAGTGTACTGACATGTAAATAAGATACAAGAGAGACAGGTCAAGTGAAGTTACTTTGATCATAGCTAAAGATAGATCCAGAAAAGGAATAAAAAGTAAACATGTCGATTACAAGAAAGTCATAGGAGGAAGGCAAAGGTGGAAATAACTGCCAAGAAGTTGGAGAAACTCTTCACCAGTTATTAGTATTGTTCAAACTGAAAGTGAGATTTTTTAAGGCTCCAAAATCCTTTTCAGAGGGTCAGGTAGGTCCTAAATAGTCAGAATTCCCTGGAAGCTTATGAAACTGTGGCAATTCTTGAACAGGTGGATTTCATTATTTGGATTATAAACATTGAAATACAAAGAAAGGATGCTCATAAAATCCACATAGAGAAAAAGATGAGAGGGAAGGAGGGAGGAAAGGAGAGAGGGAGAGACAGAGGGACAGAAGGAGGGAGAGAGGGAGGAAGAAGGAAGGGAGGGAGGGAGGGAGGGAGGAAGGAAGGAAGGAAGGAAGGAAGGAAGGAAGGAAGGAAGGAAGGAAGGAGAGAAGGAGAGAAACTATGCCAATTGTCTCCATATTAGAAGTCTTATTTTACACAATAGGTCAGAATAAAACATTTTGTTTATATGTTGTCCTTAATTTCCTATTGTTTGTCTTCTCTCCTATTCCTTGTTTTGACCCTTAGATTCCATGTGGGAGAAAGTATGAAAAGATGTGGATACTAAACTTACTCCAGAGTCATTGCAGTATGCCCATCTTTCCAACTGATGTAAGAGAGGATACTTAATCCCTCTGTGTGCACACAGGGGGTGGATAGAAGTCAGGGTCATCATGGAATGTTGACCTTCAACACCGATTTTTGCCTTCATTCCCTATAGTTTCAGTACATCAGAAGGAAGGCACAGTTCTTTGTTCAAGATTCTAGAACTGCCTCTGAATTGAGGAGCATGAACAGCCAGATATATGATGAGGAAAATAAAAAGGTTTGTGTTAATGGAATTCCTTGTACTTAGTTCTGGTACAGTTGTACTAAGCCAGGAACTAGTCTGTCTTTGTGATTGGAAGTTCTGTTGTTTACCCCATCTTTCCTTCACACAGATACCTATCTTTGTGAATGCATCTCCTGAGCCTGTATCTGTGCAATATATGTTCACAGACAAACAAATGCAGAAGCTAAAGGTAATGCAGACTTAATGCATGTTACATGTCTGCTTCCCAGACCTACCTCTTCCTGTCCTCACTCCATGAAGTTCCTGCCATCATGATCACCAGAACTTCATAGCCGCTACTCTTTCCACCTCTGTCTCTGCAGATGGTCATGAAGAAACGATATGATGTCTCCCAGAAAGCTCTGGACCTCAGAAAGCTTCGCTTTGACCCAGGTATAGCTGACTGCAGTAGTTCTAGGTCACAGTCGATTTGGAAGAAAGACAGAGAGGGGCCTGTGGTGGTGCTGGTCCAGGGAGACCTTTCTGTACCTTTTGATTCTTTTCTCTCCACTTCCTGCAGGCTTCAGAAATCATAATGTTGACGTATTTCTGAATCGAAGAAGCTGCATGGTCGCCACTCTTGAGATCATCGAAAAGAATTTCCCTAAGGTGAAATCACAGCTGATACTCGGGTTGAGTGCTAGAAAAAAATGGGTTACAGGGCAGATTTGTCTCCGAGGTATTAGATGGTAATGATCACTTTAATTCTTTCTTCCAACAGCTGCTATCCTTGAACTTGCAGAACAACAAAATACACTGGCTAGATGCCCTGTCAGACCTAATAGAGAAGGCACCCAGAGTCAAGAGCCTGAACCTTTCAAAAAATGAGGTGAGGAGATGAGATGTGAGTTGAGGGTGGATGGCAGTGCACACTGTGGTGTGTGGTGGCATTAGGTATGAAAGATCCCTGTGTGAGGGTGGCAGCTATGGGTCCTGGGCCGTAGATATGTCTTTGCCTTGGACGCCTTTACTAATTCGTTCCCATCTTTCTTAGCTGAAGTCAGTATGGGAGTTGGAGAAAATGAAAGGACTGAAGCTGGAAGAGCTGTGGTTAGAAGCGAATCCTTTATGCAGCACCTTTCCCAATCAATCTGCCTATGTAAAGTATGTAATACCTACCAAACAGCTCATTCTCTTCATGAGCATCTTGGCCCTTTGGTAACCTGAGGTCCCCTCGATGTGCTCATCTGTGGGAAGAGACAGCCCTGGTTCTCTGGAAGGATCCCGTGCCCTGCTTTTTCTCTGTGTGCTCATTGTGTATGTTCAGGCCTCCTTGCCTTCTGTCCTGCCCTACCCCTCAACCTGGCCTGGCCTGTGTTTTACTTCTCTTAGATTTTAACCTCCTCCAATAAGCCCAACCATGCCTCACTTTATGTCACCAGCCTTTCTCCCCTGTCCTGAGATGAGCCTCCTGTTCTTATAACACTGGAGAAGGGGGCGGGTACAGTGTGGGTGGAACTACCCAGGGCAAAGGAGAGGGAGGGGAGCAAGAGGGAGCCCTGGGTGTTGGGGATGGGGTGAAAGGCTATCCAAACCTGAACTGTTAATCACTTTTTTTGGCTTTTGGTTTTTGGACAGTGCTGTCCTGAAGTGTTTCCCCGGGTTATTATGCCTGGTAAGTTCTTTCGTTCGTCACCATCTCCTTTTCCTCACATGCATGACTTCCAGTCTGTTTCCAAGTCTTTGGTCTCCTGCCTATATTACTTGTTTGTATCAGACTAGCACAAGTTTTCAATGCTATGGATTTCTAAAGACATGGATATTTTCCCTGGGGAGGTGAGGGGGGGATCCAATATGCAGAGAGCATGGGGGTGGGGGAGGGGAGGGGAGGAGAAGGGAAGGTGGAGAGGGAGAGGGAAATGATCCCATGCTGTTTCCAGGGCCATTTTACACGTGGCTCTGACCCCTGAGTCACATTATCTTCTTGGGTACCATGTGCCATGTCCCTCCTCTGTGCTCCTAATTTCTTCCTTTCTTCAGGATGGCCGGGAATTAGTTCCAACATTTTACACTGGCACTGACACGCTGGAAGTAATAAAACCCTGTATGGTAAGGAGAGATCATCAAGATTTGAGGTGTTGGGCAGGAGATTTTGTCAACCACACTTTTTCAAAGTGTCTTTTCATTTTAGGAAAGCTATAAAGGATCTGAGACTCTGAAGAGTCTGATCGTGCAGTTTATGCTTCAGTAAGTTACCTTGAGGAAATAGAAAGCTCAGTGGGGTTGTCTCACCTTAGCGCAAAGTCTGCTCATAAGAGTTTTCTGGTATTACATGGGCTGTGTACCACAAGAAATAGCCTGTTCACTTTGCTGCACATCTCCCACAGGTATTACTTGATCTATGACTACAGCAATCGATACAGTCTCCTCTGTGCTTACCATGACGAGGCGTGCTTCTCCCTGACCATTCACTTCAACCCCAGGAATCCAGATCCGTGCGTATCACAGCTCAGGCTTTGTTCTGGAGCAGCATGTTCCATCCCTAGCAGACACAGGTGACCCGTTGAAATGCCCACAGTGACTAGAATAGGCTTTTGCTCCTCTTTTTCTCCTAGGAAAAACTTGGAAGCATACCTCAAGGATAGTAGGAACATGAAGAGGATCAAGGACCCCTGTAAGGATGTAATGGGGTGGTAAAGAAGGGAATCAAATGGTGCAAGTCGTAGGGGTAACAATCACCATCTTGCTCCTCTGCTTCATACAGTTCTGCGGATGCAGCTGCTGAAGTACACAAAACATAATATTGTGGCCAGCCTCCAGGAATTGCCTCAAACTCTGCATGATTTCAACTCCTTTGTAATTGACATTTGTTTCCAGACTGTGAGCACCCATTTCTTCTCTCAGTTATGACCAGAAAGCTACAAGTAAGTAGTATGTTTTAGAAGGATAATGAACGTCCTACTTTACTGTTCTCCCTCCTCAGGAAAGGATGATCTGCTTCACTGTCAATGGAGTGTTCAAGGAATGTGAGTGTTCAATCGTCTCAACAGGGCTCTTTTGGCTCCTTTCTCCAGGCAGAGTTCGCTACCCGAACTCTGCTAGCCCCATTTCTGTTTTTCCTTCTTCTTTTTTTTTTAATTTAATTTTATTCT